GGCAGATCCAGGCCCGGTCCTCTCCTGTCTGCAGTGCAGCGCCCGGCCCGGCCCTCTCCTCTGTCTGTGGGGCAGATCCAGACCCGTTCCTCTCTCCTGGAGGCAGCGCCTGGACCGGTCCTCTCCTCTGTCTGTGGGGCAGATCCAGGCCCAGTCCTCTCCTCTGTCTGTGGGGCAGATCCAGGCCCAGTCCTCTCCTCTGTCTGTGGGGCAGATCCAGGCCCAGTCCTCTCTCCTGGAGGCAGCACCAGGCCCGGTCTGGTCCTCCAGCGCCGAGCAGTCAGAGCAGCAGAGGGAAGGCAAGTGCTCACCTCCCTCCCCTGTGCATGCGCTGCTGGGGGTAAAGGTCACACACACACCCCTGTACGTAATGAATGAGCAGGGACGAATCTAGGGTAAGTGGAGAGTGACATGTGCCCTTAGACATGTCCAGGACACAGGGATCCTGTGGGCTAATCGCTAGTGCTACTATACTTTCAGATTTGACCATCTATATAAGTGTTTGTCCAGCAGGTGGGATGTAGTCTGTGATGAATCTGCTCCCCCAACACCACCATTCAGATAAACACAGCTTCTAAAGAAAGGAAAAGGCTGAACATGAGCTTGTGGCCAGAATTGTCAGATCTCAGTGCTGGATTAAGTTTTTTTTTTTTGGGGGGGATATTTTGATTTGCAACAGCTGCTGGAATATGGGATAAATTTACTGGGCATCAAAATCGAGCCTACACAGAGCTCATCATGACAGGATCCCCCCCAGTGAACAGTTTAAGACATGTCTGCTCTGCCCTACATTCAGTCCGATTTTCACCGATAAAGCTACTGATGGGCTTTAAAAAGGTTCAGATCGAACAGACATGCACACCAAGAGAATACTCTTTCCGTTCGGCCAACTAAAAAAAACGATGAGTACCCTTTTGCAGACTCCATGTTTCTACCACTGGCTTCTGATGAGCTGTGTCCTGTCACCGGCCCAGCCGACGGGCTCTGAGCACCCCCGGGGAAAATCCCAACTCAAGGGACACACACGGATCACAAGGATGGACTCTGGGAAGGACACGGGGTATACAGTGAAAATGCAAAGGTAGGGAATCTAGCCAAGACGCTATCCCTCTTCTCGCTCCCAACCCTGAGAAGAACTTCGTGCATCCACAGCTCCTCTGTGATCGGAGCACGGCCCTGCAGACTAAACTCACGCATTCCCTCAAACAGTCCTACAGCATCGGAAAGTCAGGGCAACCCAGCTGCCTTCGCCCCCAGTGAATCGATGATAAAACGTCAGAGTGGGACGATGCTCACTCAACACATCACCGTGTTCAAACCGCATTGATCAGATTGATCAGGCCGCCTACTGACTTTCACTTGGCACCCTCAGCCTTTTTTAGAGATCCAGTAGAAAGCTATTAACAGGAACAAATAGGCGTGTTGATCATACCAAGGGAAAGAAAATTCCCCGTTTTGTCTGGGAATCGGAATGAGTCTTGGAATGAAGCTTAGATTCAGCGACAGAACTGAGGCACATCCTCCTGGCAGGGCCAGTCTTAAAGCAGAGCCGACATCTCATCTTTATCTTGCCCAGGCAGGAAACAGGCACAGGGCTCCCTGGAGAGACCGTTCCTGCACTGGGAGCACCTGGCCACTCTCGCCTCCTGAGCACTCCCACAGACCACTGCCCCCTGCCTGGGCAAATTCAACCAGCTCTGCAACTGAGGGCCAGCACCCGAGCCCAGAACAGGTACAGGGTCTCTCAGGGAACTCAAGGATCCCCCCCCCACCTCCTTGCCTCCCCCCCACTCCCCTCCTCCCAACACCCCCTGCGTTAAACAAACTGTCCAGGAAACCCGCAGTAATGTTAAATATCTAATCTTTATTCAAAGCTGTAAAGAAATCCTCAACAATCAAACAAGACAGACACGGCCGGGTACAAGTCATTCTCGA